ATCTCGAGAAATGCTGGAAGAGGTGCAGCCCAAAATCTCCCGTCGAGGGCCTTCTTTTTCCGATCTGCACCTTCAGATACCAAGACAGGATGAACCATTGCGTTACGTGTATGTAATGCAACACCTAAAGGAGACTACGTCTGATGATCAGATCTTGGAAGCGGCGGAATTCCAGGCTCGCTCTCCTGATTATTCGAACTCAAATGTGACACGAGCTCATCGATCATTCCTCGAGCTTTGGCCCTCTTTGCGAACTCTTGTCCCAGTTGTCACGAACATTTAAGAGACCCTCGCGTAATCGCATTAGGGTAGCGTTGGTCGCGAAGCCGCGCAAAAAGCCACGAGCCATTACACGGGAATCCACGCTGGCATTCTGGAGTAAGTAGATAATTTCCGGTCGAGAGATGGCAGCGGAATGTTGACAGCACCCGACGTCGAAATGCTGAAGCTTAAAAGGCGACGATCGCCGCTAAATACGACTGACACATCTTCTCGCTCGTCAACTGCAAAGTCAAGAGTCGTTGCGATGGTCAGGACTGCACCTTTGGATTTAATATTATTTCGCTGGAAATATTAGAAATATATTCCAAACATCAAATCTTGAGGACCTGTTGCACAGTTCGTGATGCCTTGAACAAATTTCATGTAAATGCAAGGATAATAAGAGTTGATAATAGGAAAATGACGATCTAGAAAGAATGTTCATATAGACGCGTCGCGATGGTGCTGATCATACGTTTAGGTTTAACATTATTTCAATAAAAATGTTAGAAATATATTCCAAACATCAAATCTTGAGGACCTGTTGCACAGTTCGTGATGCCTTGGACGAATTTCATGTAAATGCAAGGATAATAAGAGTTCATAATAGGAAAATTACGATCTAGGAAGACCGTTCATATAGACGCGTCGCGATGGTGCTGATCATACGTTTAGGTTTAACATTATTTCGGTAAAAATGTTAGAAATATATTCCAAACATCAAATCTTGAGGACCTGTTGCACAGTTCGTGATGCCTTGAACAAATTTTATGTAAATCCAAGGATTTAAAAAATTCGTAATAATAAAACGACGATCTAGGAAGAATGTTCATATAGACTCATCGCGATGGTACTGATCACACGTTTGGGTTTAACATTAATCCGGTAAAAATGTTAGAAATAAATTCCAAACGTCAAATCTTGAGGACCTGCTGCACAATTCTTGATGTTCTGAACAAATTTCATGTAAATCCAAGGACTTTAATAACGATCATCATCAACGATACAGAGTCATGATTGTACAATTGAGTCATGATTTAACATTGTTCCGTTCATAACATCACGAGTACGCTTCAAACATGATATATCCTTGATTGGCACATTTTATGTTGCCTTAAAGAAGATTTGTGTTAACGCGATAGGAACATAAGATGTGTAGTAGGTATTTAAAATACATGTGTGCACTATTGACAATTTTCCTATAATTCATATATCTCGCAGCCTGTCGGCTTATTATAAGAGAAATATGGGTGTATGCCTCAAAACTAGAGTATTCCGACGAAGAGCCAACTGCTCGTGTGGTGCGTGTGCTCCAAGACTGTGGTCCTTTCTGTCCCCTCTTCCTAGTTTTAGCCGTATCAGCTGTTTAGGCAATGATCACGTCTTCTAAACAATTCTCACGTCTTCTCGCCCGTGATCCCCGAATAGGGCTGGACGTCCAATCAATTTGCCTTTGTCCCTTTGTGAATATTCCCTTCAGGTGACGACCAAGGATGAAAGTCCAGGGAGAAATCGGGAATCGGAAGTGCGAGCATCATCGACATCACCCAACGGGTCCAGGAGAAATCTCGGAGGACCGAAGTGAGAGACCAGGATAGAAAAGAGCGGCCACCGCAGAAGTGCGTGAGGGCATCGCGCGGTCTCTGCGTGTTATCCGTCGTGTACACGCAGGCTCGAGCTTACACACGCCGAAGTCGGTCGACACATGCGAGATGGATAAAGGCGGCACCGCATCATAGGGAGAGAAACCCGAGAGAACTGCGCCAAGACTTCGGGAAGGGCGAAGATATTCGCGGCGGATTGCCTCCCAGATAGCCGGCCACGAAGCTAATACTCCGGTTGGAAATTACCGGCAGTGAACTCGGCATGTATCGATTCTTTCTCCCCTTCGCATCGCAATCTTTTCCAGATCCTTGCACCTCTCCTTCGATTTTCTCGAGATCGAAGCTAGGAGGCCAATCTAGGAATACGGAACCTACATCTAAATGCCACACTTTTGTACAGGGTCTGATTAGAACTTCCTAAGTTGACTCAGTTAGGAAAGGATTGAGCAAAGTTACCAGGATGTACAATTAAATTTGTACAGGACTTAGAGAAAATTCTTTTGGATGCCAAATTAAAATCTAATAGTCCGGCTGGAAATTACCGGCAGTGAACTCGGCATGTATCAATTCTTTCTCCCCTTCGCATCGCGATTTTCTCTCGATCCTTGCACCTCTCCTTCGATTTTCTCGAGATCGAAGCTAGGATGCCAATCTAGGAATACAGAACTTACATCTAAATGCTCACTTTTGTACAGGGTCTGATTAGAACATCCTAAGTTGACTCAATACAGGAAAAATCGGACAAAATTACCGGGATGTACAATTAAATTTGTATAGGATTTTGAAAAGATTCTTTTAGATGCGAAATTAAAATCTAGGAAGGTATTAACTTGGCGTTGAGCAAGAAAAATTAAACTGGACGCAGGACCAAGTCCTATCTAGGATTTGTTTTAGATAGAATTGGGAACTATTAATGTGGAAGTCCTAGCTGGGTCTTACATACAATGCGACGTTTAATTGTTTTGGATGTCGAATTAAATTCCAAGATCTTAGCTTGGCGTTCAGCCGGAGAAATTGAGTTGGACGCGAGAACAAGTCCTATTTAGCATTTGTCTTGGATAGGATTGAGAACTATTAATGTGGAAGTCCTAGCTAAGGCTTAAATATAGTGCGGCGTTTAATTGTTTTGGATGTCAAATTAATTTGGCGAAATGCTTAACTTAGCGTTGACCAGGAAAAATTGAATTGGTTGCAGGACCAAGACCTGTCTAGGACCTATCTTGGCTAGGGTTAAGAACTACCAATGTGCAGGACCAAGACCTATCCAGGACCTATCTTGGCTAGGGCTGGGAACTACCAATGTGGGAGTCCTAGTTAGGTCCTAGATACCATCTAACATTTCCTAGTCAGTTTTCCACACCTCTCCTTCGATTCCGTGATCGACAAATCGCGATCGAACGTCACCTCCTACACGCGGAGAATAGGAATCGACTGCTCCTGGGAATCTGCCACTTCCCAGGGAGGAGTACAGCCAGGAGGAATTCTGCTGATCGGATCGTTCGTCCAGGGCGGGGAAGGAGGTGGAAAGAGAAATTTCCGGCTAATTCGTAGGAATGTCGCCGATTTGTCGAGCGTGGTGTAACGTCGGCTCCAGGGTGGTCGAGGGAGGAAAGGCCGCCTCTTGCTCTTTTGCGCTCCCAGAGGCCTGGAAGCTTCGGCAAAAGTGAGATTCCGCTTGTTTTCGAATCTAGAAATAGAAACTCTCCCGAGACACGTGTCCCTGCAGAAGCTTGCACAAAGCTCGCTCCGAACTCCCGGCCCGGAACGCCGAAAGACTCTCTCTCTCTCCAGGAGTTTCTTTCGAAATCGGTTTATGGGATCCTCGAAAAGGTCCTTTCCACTTCCGTTTCTCCCTTTTAACGATAAGAACTTACAGGCACTTGTTACTCCGGTGCCTCCTATGAGCTCGAACGCACATCTCGCCGTGAGAAAACATTCCTCGAAGGGATGCGTTTCGGATTTATTTTTTCTGACGCCGGAGTTTATTTTTCCACCAGCTGGTGCAGCGTCTTGCACCAAGATATCCGGTGCAGAGGAAATTTATATGGTGCAATTAGTCTTCTACACTTTCTTTGCTTGCCTAACCAAGATCCTTGTTCATCAATTTCTGTTGTACCATTCCTGAATTTAGTGATTTCACCAAAAACAACGTCTTTGCCCCAAAATCCGGTGCAGAGGAAATTTATATGGTACAATTAGTCTTCTAAACTCTCTTTGCTAACCAAGATCTTTGTTCATCAATTTCTATTGTATCGTTCCTGAATTTAGAGATGTCGCCAAAAACAGCGTCTTTGCCCCAAAATCCGATGCAAAGGAAATTTATATAGTGCAATTAGGCTTCTAAACTTTCATTGCTAGCCTATCCAAGATCTTTGTTCATCAATTTCTATTGTATCGTTCCTGAATTTAGAGATGTCAGCAAAAACAGCGTCTTTGCCCCAAGATCCGGTGCAGAGGAAATTTATATAGTGCAATTAGTCTTCTAAACTCTCTTTGCTAACCAAGATCCTTGTTCATCAGTTTCTATTGTATCATTCCTGAATTTAGGGATGTAGCCTCAAAACACTTTTACCGAAAGTATCAACGAAATACTCCTAGGCCTTACAGTTATTCCTATATCCTACTTGCAATATTTCTATTCCACATTAAATGTCAATAATTAACCGAGAATAATTTAAAAAAAACGCTTTACTTTCTCGCTCTACCCTAAAGTGTCCCTTGAAAAAATGGAAAAAAAAATCAACTTGTCTGACGCTGCCATGCCTCTCGATTTCCCTCTATTAGGTAGACGTACACAGAGAAAGAAACAAAAAATTCATCGAACTGAAGAAATGTTTTGCCATTTCAAAGAATAACAATCTAACTCGAATTCGAATAAATGGGATGCAATATCTCTTCGGAATTAAGATAATTTATTTGATTTTATTCGAAGGAAATAATTATTCTTCGAATTAACGAAATATTTCTTCGGTACCATATTTATTTCCTTCAATGGACTGCCTTATTTTTTTTTTTCAGCAGAGAATTTCAGACCAATAAAAAATGAAATGTGTGCGAGTGTTCATCGAATCTGCGAGTTCTACGGGGAACGGGACATATTCGGCGAAATCTAGCCATAAAATTGAATATACTCACCATAATAGGCCCGCCGTTCTCCATCGATGCAGAAACCGAAGCGCCGAACCACTGCAGGGTTTTGTTGTCCACCTGCGTGATCCCTTTCTGACGAGCCTGACTATCGACGTTATAGTTGTTTCCTGAAACGAGAACGACAATCGGGTTAGTCACCACGCGATTGTCAGCATCCTGCGTCAACAACTCGACGCGTTATGTCGCCAGAAGTGAATCGAGCGAATCCTGACCGACGAATTCGTCCCTATTGTTAGAAGCGAGCTTAAGGTGATGCGAAAGTGGCGTCGAAGAGGTTTTGTTTATAAAACTTTTCTCCCAACTCGGTTTGCCGAATAGTTTGAAACTTTACAGCGTGAATAGGAAGGCTATAAAGAAGGTCCTGAAACTCGTGAAATTTCAATTCTTTTCAAATTTGTTTATAGGTATTTTAAAAATAGTAATTATAAAAAATGAAATTTCGGGAGTTTCAGGACCTACATTAGGGTATCCATATTCACGTTTTAAAGTATGAAACGATTTGAGACACCCAGTTCGTGAAAAGTTTTATGAACGATTGGGCTTTCCGATGCCACTTTCACATCCCCTTAACGATCGCCGGCACTAATAAGGATCCACCTCTGAGACCCTCGAGATACTAAAGATAAAGGGGACTTAAATTAGACACGGCTCTTTTCACCGGCGATGGATTTAGTGACTCGAAACGTTAAAGCTTGGGTTTGTTTCCAGGACCTCGACGTTAAACAAGGAGTCATTTTCCAAACAAAGTAGCGTTAAGGCTATACGAAAGTGGCATCCGAGGTGTCTCACTTTTCTACTTTCACATCCCCTTAACGATCGCCGGCACTAATAAGGATCCACCCCTGAGACCCTCGAGATACTAAAGATAAAGGGGACTTAAATTAGACACGGCTCTTTCCACCGGCGATGGATTTAGTGACTCGAAACGTTAAAGCAGTCTCCGGGACGAGACTAGTTTGTTTCCAGGACCTCGACGTTAAACAAGGAGTCGTTTCCCAAACAAAGTGGCGTTAAGGAGATACGAAAGTGGCATCCGAGGTGTCTCACATTTCTAACTGGATGTATCGAATGGTTTGACACTTTTCCACGCGAATCCGCTAGAGTTTAAGGGAGGTCCTGCCACTCGTGAAGTTTAAACTTTTTAAGGTGAAGTGAAACACCTCGAGGAACTTGAACGACGTCGATAAAGAAGATTTTTCTAAATACCTACAAATCTTTGAATGTGCCAGGACAATTCTTAGATGACATCGCGAGTTATGTGTCAAAGTTTCGGGCAGTTTGGTGCAATACCCTTAAAAGAAAAAGTGTTGTATTCGAATCGACTGATTTGAAGGGGGTTTCACTTCACCTTAAGGACTTCTGCGTGCAAGTGCCGGTCCAATGCACGCAGAAGTCCTGCTGCAGCGGTGCTCCGGTGCAGCTCGGATACGCAATCCCTGTAATTAGTGCCCTCGCACAGATCATGTCCCGGCTTGGAAAGACCAAGGAGTCCAATACCAGGCAACGAGTCTGCCTCGTGTCACCCGGTACCTGTTACTTTGTCGAAGTAACCTAATATGTCGCCAAGACGGCCGTGGAACGCGATGGAACGCACTGGAACGCACCGATGTGGAACCAAACCCGAGAACGAGTTCCCGCAATTGCAGCCGATAAACCAGAGCAGGGTCTTCGACGTCTGAAAATCTTCCGGGCGAAACGTTCGCCGAAGAATCGGCTGGGGATGGGAGTCACCAACCCGAGGAAGCATTCACTCGGAAGTCGGGCAAAACGATGTCCTTTGAGAACCGATCGCCATTAAGGGGATGCAAAAATGGCATCTCAGGGGTCAATCGTTCATGAAACTGTTCTCCGAACATGGTAACACCACGTAAGTATTATACTTTTTATTTTAGATGCCCCATTTCTTTATAGACCAACGCGTATCTCCCCTAAAAAAAATCGCAGTCCTTTGTTCGATGGACCAATTTGATGGGAAGAACATCTTTTGTCGAATTGCAACGATAGCAGGTGCGGAAAAAATTCACTAGGGGCAGGGCGGGCTGAAAAAGTCATGGACCCTTAAAAAAAGCTTCAAACCCTCTATCTCTTCTGAAAAAAAATTGCAGCCTCTCGTTCAATGGACCAATTTGATGGGAAGAACATCTTTCATCAAGCTGCAACGATAGTAGGTGCGAAAAAAATTCACTGGGGGCAGGGCAGCCCCAAGAAAACGGGCTGATAAAGTCATGGAGCCCTAAAAAAAGCTTCAAACCCTCTATCTCCTCTGGAAAAAAATCGCAGCCCCTCGTTCGATGGGTCAATTTGATGAGAAGAACATCTTTCGTGAAGCTGCAGCGATAGCAGATGCATAAAAAACAGTAGAAACACGTAAAAAGACATGCATGCGTATCTCAGTACCGTCATATTCATCATGCATGAATTTAAATCGTCAAAACCCTCCGCAAGGACAATACAAGAACAAAGAACTAGAAGAAGGGAAAATCGGCTATCCAGCTGGTATAGAGATCAGGGCTCCTACTCTCGAGTTCATAAGAAGTTCATAAGGTTCCAGAGACCCTGTTCTCGAGTTCCTATGAACTTCCTTCGCATACAAATGGATCGCATGAAAGATGTTGCATCGTTGCAAAGTCGCGTCACCGGTCAACATTTCAAAGTCGTGTACGAAACTATCAGTTTTGCATATGAGAGATGTTCGTGTGAACTCGAGAATCGGGTTCCAGGGATTCCCAGTGGTTTCTGGGATCGGCAGGTTTCGAACACTCGTAATCGATCAGGCGGGACTGCGATGCCCCGAGATCGATCCGTGGCGTGGCTCTTCTCGGAGGGATCTCACCTCCTCGTTAGCACGATGCGATCTACCTGGATGATGTGCAGATCGCATCGGACTCCACCTGAACACGGGATCGCGGATTCAGGCTGCGTACAAGGAAGCTCGGGCCTCCGTGGCCTTAGAGGCCACTCACTCCCTTCGGAACGAGCCCAAAGGACCCCTCCTCTTGGCTCCTTGGGCGCACCGCCGGCGAACCCTGTCGAGGGGCAGGTCCGAGGTACGAGGAATCCTCAACAAGAACCGGCACTACCTAATAGGGAAATACAGAAAGCCCCTATGACATGGGCTGCCTCCCTGCTGGTCATCCGCCTTTACTGTACCCGGGACCAGTGGATGGATGCCGGTAAAGTCGGCTCCGATGCTTTGGTACCACTGGTACCACTGGTACCACTGGTACCACTGGTACCACTGGTGCCACTGGTGCCACTGGTGCCACTGGTACCGCTCGACAGCCTCCCTGTACGGATCATCGCGGACACGGATGATACGGATAACGGGTTCATTCTCGGATCGGCGAAAAAAAACACCGCGGTCCTCCACTCCTTGCTGCCTTGACCAAGACGAGATCATTGCCTATCATTCATTGCTGCTGGGACTGAATATCGACGTCATTGGATGGCACTCGCCTGGGTGGAGGCCGATTTTTTTTTATGAAAGTGGAACTTTGAATGTATTGGGATATGCATTTGGAGAGAAACTCTGCTGAGTTTTTTTTTGATGGCGATAAAGAATGAGAGATTAGATTCGTTGCTGCCTTGAAGAAGAGATCATTGTCTATCATTCATTGCTTCTGGGACTGAATATCGGCGTCATTGGATGGCACTCGCCTAGGTGGAGGCCGATTTTTTTTTTATGAAAGCGGAACTTTGGATGTATTGGGATATGCATTTTTGTGGCGATAAAGAATGAGAGATTAGATTCGTTGCTGCCTTGAAGAAGAGATCATTGTCTATCATTCATTGCTTCTGGGACTGAATATCGGCATCATCGGATGTCATTCGCCCGGTTAGGGTTCGAAAATGTTTCATGAAAGCGCAACTTTGGATATATCGGGAAATGCATTTGGCGCGAAGTTCAATTCATTCAGTTTTTTCATACCAAATGAAGTGTCCGTTAATAGTCGTGACGTAAAAGAAATGTATTTTTATTATATGTTCATATGTTGTATTCGAATCGATTGATTTGAAGGGGGTTTCACTTCACCTTAAGGTTCAATCAGACAGCGATACCATGTAACCTTTTCTTAAATCTGTGGAACTTTGGATACATCGAGATATTGGAGTACGTGGGCCCAAGGCCTAGCTCTCGCTCGGCGATACTTTTTTTTTCCACGGTCTGACGGAAAGGCGAGTCGGGGTTATTTCCGAGTCTGACTCCTGGTGTGCGACCGGTCGCGTAATTCTCTTACCTCGGGCCGACTCACCGCTATTTCGAACCGGATGCCGCGCAACCTGCTGCACGAGTTCTGCCGTAGAAAAAGATCGCCGAATACTCGGGATCCCCGATGGAAACGGTATTCCAGAACCTCGAGAAGAAGGGAATGGTCATCCAAGAAGCGGATAACGAGTCGGCAATTCCGCGGCCAGGAAGCGAAAAATGAGTGACGATGAGACCATTTAGGATACCCGGGCACGCAACCATATTCCCCGATGGCATCGGCTCGTAAAGAGACCCTGCATCGTCTGAAATCCCTTCGGTGGAGGCGCAACGGGCACGCAGCCATATTCCCCGATGGTATCGGCTCGTAAAGAGACCCTGCGTCGCCTGAAATCCTTCCGTGGAGACGGTCGGTAGAAAAATACGCCAGGCACGAGCCAAGCAGGTTGCAAGGTGCACCTGAACCTGGCCTGGGGGACCGAACGTCATCGAACAGGAGCGAGGCATACACGGTCGCTAATTACCAATCAAAGAGAGTCCTCCGAAGGCTCGTAAAGAGACCCTGCATCGCCTGAAATCCCTTCGGTGGAGGCGCAACGGGCACGCAACCATATTCCCCGATGGTATCGGATCGTAAAGAGACCCTGCGTCGCCTAAAACCCTTCCTTGGAGACGGTCGGTAGAAAAATGCGCCAGGCACGAGCCAAGCAGGTTGCAAGGTGCACCTGAACCTGGCCTGGGGGACCGAACGTCATCGAACAGGAGCGAGGCATACACGGTCGCTAATTACCGATCAAAGGGAGTCCTCCGAAGGGTCTCCCCTCCTTCGGGATATACTAATTGGACGGCAAGGATTCTCAGAGCGGAGATGCGCTCCGCACACGTTCTCACCTCTCCTGAAAGACGACCAGGGGGGCAAAAAGGACTACCGCGCGCGCAAAAGGGACGAAGTGGACCGAGGAACGGTGGAAAAGGAGGAGAGAGTCGGAGGGAAAGGTGGAACCAGCTCGATACGTCTCTATAACCATCCCAGCCTCGTCCAATCTCTGCACCTACACCAACCGACCACTCCGGATGACTAACTTGAATCTACTCGCTCACATAACGCCGCAAGCTCACTTCTCGACAACCGATCTCGCGGTTTCGTTGCAGTTTCACGCGATCTTATCAATTACACTCGCCACGATCGCGGGATAGGCACATTATCGGCAAATTATCGGGAAGCCTGGTCGGCGGTCTGAGCCGATCATGGATCTTTGAGCAAGGATCTTGGATGGACCTAAAATTAGATTCTAAACGAGAAACCAAAACTTGAGGCGGAAGAAAAATCCATTCTGGCGGCCATCTTGCATTGCTGCATAGGACCATCTCGTAATCGTAAAGAATCGCAACCTAAATGTCTATGCAAATTTGTATTTGATTTGTATTTGAGAGAAAAAAGCTCACTTCTCAACAGCCGATCTCACGGTTTCGTTGCAGTTTCACGCGATCTTATCAATTACACTCGCCACGATCGCGGGATAGGCACATTATCGGCAAATTATAGGGAAGCCTGGTCGACGGTCTGAGCTGATCATGGATCTTTGAGCAAGGATCTTGGATGGACCTAAAACTAGATTCTAATGAGAAACCAAAGGTCGAGGCGGAAGAAAAATCGACTCTGGCGGCCATCTTGCGTTACTGCATTACGCGCCATCTCGTGATAATGAACAATGGCAACCAAAATGTCCAAGCAATTTTGTATTTGTTTTGTATATGAGAGGAAAAAGATAGTTGACTCAAAGAAATATGCGTCGCTACAACGAAATAAAGAAAATTCGTTTAAATCAACGGTATCATTTTTCTTCTCAACGAAATAATTCTTTCTTGCAATTATGCATTATTCAGGCAACGATATATACATTTGTTTCAGGCAACTATCTTTTTTTCTCAGTGTATGACACTTTTCTTTTTTTATGTGTGACCGCGTGCCGGAATATGTATAGGACCTTGACATTATTTTTCTACGTGTTTGGAATATGTGCGGATGTTGGAAAAGAAAGATGGCCGCCATCTATTTCTTCTGCTTATGTCTTAAGGTTCAATCAGACAGCGATACCATTTATCCTTTTCTTTAATCTATGGAACTCGTCAGCGGACTTCTCTTTGCTCTGCACAGGTTGCTCGCTCTCCGGAGTAGAACCTATTTAGGATCCCTGCGTGACTTTTCCGGATTTTTCCGAAGGCAGGCTCCATTAACGAGAACTGGAAACATCCGGAGAGGGCTGGGGAACGGCGTAAAAATAGCGGCGGCCTTTTCGTGGGACTGAGGTCGCCGAGCTCTTTCGGGAGCCCAGAAATCTGGGTCGCTGACGACGACGATGATGTCGCTTAAGACAGCTCGGACTTTGTTTGTACGCCGATTATTTATGGATTACTTGTTCAGAGGTAATCCCAGTTGAAATTTCGGCTCTATTTTGAAACTGCGTCACCTGAGCAGGCCCTATTTTGATCCTATTTCACTCTTTACGTTTAACTTTCCGCCCCTTACTCCCAACTCCACGCGAATTAAGGCGATATGAAAGTACCACTCGAGGTATCAATCCTTTATGCAACTTTTCTCTGAACTGAATGTATCGAATTGTTTCAAAATTTTACCCCGTAAATGTGGAGGCCTCAAGAAAGGTTCCGACACCCATGATATTTCGTTATTTATAAAAGGAATGCCAAAAATATTCATAAATAAATTTAAAAATCAAATTTCATGGCTGTCAGGACCTTCCTTACAGCCTCCATATTCCCAAAACTTGGTAGTAAATTTCGAAACGATTCAGGACACTCAGAAAAATCAAGAGAGCTCTCGACACCCATGATATTTCGTTATTTATAAAAGGAATGCCAAAAATATTCATAAATAAATTTAAAAATCAAATTTCATGGCTGTCAGGACCTTCCTTACAACCTCCACATTCACAAGACTTGGTGATAAATTTCAAAACGATTCAGTACCCTCCGAAAAAAAATGCTTCATAAACGATTGATCCCTCAGATGCCACTTTCATATCATCTTAAGGCCAGCCATTACAAGTTCTGAGATAAAAATTTCGAGTTGCCGTATATATACGCCAGATGAGGCGGGAGATGAAAAGGAGATTAAGGATGAGATAACAGTGGGAAAAAATCCGGCGTTTTCTCGGGAAACGTTTTAAGGGTCTCGCAATGTTCTCCTACCTTTATTGTCGAACTCGATGATCGCGCAATGATCGTCCACGGCGATATCACACCGATATACCGCCCCGCCCCGGATGACCTCGGGCTGAGACGTCTGCGCTTCCGGTGCACCCACGATGACCCTGAAAAAAAACGAAAGAGGTTATCACGCTATCGAGATCGATCTTTGGGAGCTGACTCCCCCAGGGCCCCTCCTCGTAAATTCGCCCCGAGGCGGCGAGAAGAAAGGCCTTTTATTCTCCGTTTACCGAAGTCCGACCCTCCTTGTGGGGTTATCGCCGGGAATTAGTTATCACTGCCATACTTGGCGATCCCGACGACAAGAAAAACGCTAAAGTCCCACTAAAGGTAGCTACACACGGTGGAATAAATCGTCGTCAATTTGTGATTTGTATTATACGGTCAAATTGAATTCTACAACGTCTACACAACATCCAGGGATTAGTTAAACCTGTGCAGATAGGTTTCTGTGGGTTTATCGTAACGATGAAAAAAGGAACTCGGTGGTTCCGATGACAATAAAAACGCTAAATTCCCACTAAAGGTTGCTACACACGGGGGAATAAATCTTCGCCAATTTGTGTTTTGTATTATACGGTCAAATTGAATTTCATAACGTCTACACAACATGCAGGGATTAGTTAAACCTGTGCAGATAGGTTTCTGTGGGTTTATCGTAACGATGAAAAAAGGAACTCGGTGGTTCCGATGACAAGAAAAACGCTAAAATCCCACAAAGGTTGCTACACACGGGGGAATAAATCGTCGCCATTTTGTGATTTGTATATACAGTCAAATTAAATTCCACAGCTTCTACGTGACATCCAGGAATTAGTTAAACCTGTGCAGATAGGTTTCCGTGAGTTTATCGTAACGATGAAAAAAGGAACTCGGCGGTTCCGATGACAAGAAAAACGCTAAAGTCCCACAAAGGTTGCTACAAGCGGGGGAATAAATCGTCGCCATTTTGTGATTTATATATACAGTCAAATTAAATTCTACAGCGTCTACGCGACGTCCAGGAATTAGTTAAACCTGTGCAGATAGGTTTGTATGAGTTTATCGTAACGATGAAAAAAAGAACTCGGAAGTGCCGATGACAAGAAAAACGCTAAACTCCCTCTAAAGGTAGCTACACACGGTGGAATAAATCGTCGCCAATTTGAGATTTGTATATACAGTCAAATTAAATTCCACAGCGTCTACGCGACGTCCAGGAATTAGTTAAACCTGTGCAGATAGGTTTCCGTGAGTTTATCGTAACGATGAAAAAAGGAACTCGGCGGTTCCGATGACAAGAAAAACACTAAAGTCCCACAAAGGTTGCTACAAGCGGGGGAATAAATCGTCGCCATTTTGTGATTTGTATATACAGTCAAATTGAATTTCATAACGTCTACACAACCATCCAGGAATTAGTTAAACCTGTGCAGATAGGTTTCCATGGGTTTATCGTAACAATGAAAAAAGTCGAGGTTTGTAAACTGTTGCTAAATTGAGGACACACATAATGTAGACGCCTTAAAAGTAGCCACACACGTAAGTATGAATCATGGCGATTTGTAATCCACGTAGTTAAATCGAGTACATTCATACCGTCCGCGCGTCATCCACACGTCATTTAAATCTCGGTTTTTCTCGGATTTACTGCGAATATTTATTCTTACATATATAGGCACCTTAAGGTGACATGAAAGTAGCACGCAATCAATTTTTTATGACTTCATTCCTAAACTAGGAACCGGAAAAATTGGAAACATTACCGCGTGAATATAAAGGCACCAAGGAAGGTAGTGCCACTCGAGAATTTTTAAAATTTGGTTATGAACATCTTAAGGATATTTACAAGAAATGAAATTTCCCGGGTATCGGAACCTTTATCGGAGCCTCTGCATTCAGGTGGTAAAGTTTCAAACAATTCGGTACACCCAGTTCGGAGAAAGATTTCATATACGATCGAGTTCCCACTTTCATACCGCCTTAACAGTAATAATCTCCCTAAGTGGGGCTCTTTCCGCGGGAAGTCGTGATAGATCACCATCCCGGCGATCTTTAGAGGCAACTCGAGGTACATCATCTCCTCGCCGAGGATCTCCCGGTTGCGTCAGATGCGTCAAGGTGGAGGATAATGAAGGAGTCGACACCTCCAATTTATTTAACGAGCTCGGGACCGCGTGCTAAATCGGCCATTACCTTTATTGACTTAACGGTCGTCATCTCGCGTTAATGGGAGCTTCTCCCACGGATCCCCTTATCATTACCTAGATCGGGTGGATCGTCAATCGCTATCAGTTAAGGGGATGTGAAAGTGGCATCCGAGGGTTCAATCGTTCATGAAGCTCTCCTCTGAACTGGGTGTCACGAATCGTTTCAAACATTACAACGTGAATATGAAGACTATGGGGAAAGGCCCGCTACTCATGAACTTTCATTTCTTATAAAACACTTTTAAAATATCTGTAAATAAATTTAATTAAAAAATTGGAATTTCATGGGTGGCAGGACTTTCCTTACAGCCTCCATATTAACATTGTAAAATGTAATACAATTCGATACACCGAGTTTGGAGTAAAATTTCATAAACGAGATCTCTTTGGCGCCACTATCATACCACCTTAATGGGGGGGTCAGACGAATTATCCGGCGTAGTTCATGGGTGTCAGGACCTTCCTTATAACCTCCATATTAACATTGTAAAATTTGTTACAATTCGGCACACCGAGTTCGAAGGAAAGTTTCATAAACGAGACCTTTTTGTCGCCACTATCATACCACCTTAATGGTGAGTGTCGGGGGGTCAGACGAATTATCCGGCGTAATTCATGGGTGTCAGGACCTTCCTTACAGCCTCCATATTAACATTGTAAAATTTGTTACAATTCAGTACACCAAGTTCGAAGGAAATTTTCACAAACGAGACCTTTTTGGCGCCACTATCATACCACCTTAATGGTGAGTGTCGGGGGGTCAGACGAATTATCAGGTTATTTGCCCCTCGATATCCGTTTCAACAGATTTATACCGACTTATACAAATATATACAGATTCATACAGATTACCCACGATCCATATGAAGCCTTGTTCCAAGGAGAATCCATCAAACGCATTAGAAAACAACCGGTTCTTACGGGGATCGAATTGACGAGGGGAATCGCAGTTTATGCACTCCGGACCCGCCTTCTAGGGCTCGGGGAAGTTCCTGGGGAATGTTCGGAGGCTCTTCAGGTGCGCAAGTGTTAACGTACGTGAACGGTGGAGGAAGCACACGTGGGAGTCCCGAGTTATCGACGTTGCAATTATTAAGGAGAGGGAGCGCCCGGCTCTCGGAAGAGGCGCCCTCCTGACGTCATTTTGCTACAAATCGAGGGGGGACGAAGGAGGGAAAAAGAGCCAGAAGTCGGCCATTTGACCAATCGAGTACTCGGAAGCCGTAGTTGGGCCTTCTCGGCTAATTGGCCGTTCCCCGAAGTTCCTGGGCGAAGTACCGAAACCGACTCTACTACGCCCCTGGAAATCTTTCCTCCGACAGGAAATGACTCCCCCCGCTGGTTCCTCGGACACTGACAAATCGCTCCTAATCGGCCATCTTAATCGGGCCAATAATTTCAAATCGATCGCCGGACGCTCCCCTAGGCCGTAACAATGATTTCACCTAAAGTAAAATAGCTCATTGCTAACGCGCGGTAACTATAGTCGCACAACAAAGGCGCACGCCAATCATCGCAGTCATAATACGTTGTTTCTTTTTTTTCCACGTAATGCAGTTTATATAAAGGTGGCGTAATCACACGCGTAATCTTGTACTGCATTTGCAGCCGAGATGTCGTCCTCGGCGGAATACGATTCTTTTTTTTTTACCATCGCAATTAATACGGAAGAGAGATAAAACACGCTGAAGGGCTTGTCCTTATATTCTTGCTTAAAAAAANAAAAAAAAATTAAAAAATCTCGCCAAAGAAGTAACAAATGTTTAATTATCATTATAGAATGTCTCATGTATTTTCTAAGTGTTGTTAAGCTTGGACCAAGTTTCAAGCATACAACACATCTCAGTGAAGCAATTTCTTCTGAGGTAATTCCAAACTCTCATTTTTAACAACGAGCGCTGAATTTTGAGCATAATTAAACAGCGCGCAAATCGTTGCAGTCATAATGTTTTTTTTTTCCACGTAATGCAGTTTACATAAAGGTGGCGTAATCTTCTATTGCATTTGCAGCCGAGATGTCGTCCTCGGCGGAATACGATTCTTTTTTTTTTACCATCGCAATTAATACGGAAGAGAGATAAAACACGCTGAAGGGCTTGTCCTTATATTCTTGCTTAAAAAAAAAATTAAAAAATCTCGCCAAAGAAGTAACAAATGTTTAATTATCATTATAGCATGTCACAAGGTATTTTCTAAGTGTCGTTAAGCTTGGACCAAGTTTCAAGCATACGACACATCTCGGAGAAGGAATTTCTTCTGAGACAATTCCAAAGTCTGATTTTTAACAACGAGCGTTGAATTTTGAGCAGTAAATGATGAACGCGTTCTCCAGCTATGTATTTTTCGCGTAGATACGTATATAGGCGTGTTAAATGCTTCTCGAAGCATTTAATTGGTGTATGATCCGATCAAAGCAAAGGATCGACTCGGTACCGTTTCCTACATCTGCATGTCGGCTCGTTTGTACACGGTGCAAGTCATGTCGTTAAAGTGCAATTTTTTTCCCTCTTAGCGGAGTATAAGAGGCCAATTACATTACGTACTGTCCGATCATTAGGCATTAGAGGCAAGTGCTCCGACAGCTTTCTAAGGACACGAGTCGGCTCCGGGCATGATTAGTGGGGACAAATTAAGGCGCCGCTAGGGTCGTTCCTGTAAATCTCCTAACGAGGGAATTTAACGGCAGAAGAAATGCACGCCGCCTAGGAAATCGGCGACCCTCGTAAAAATCCCCCATTTAATCCCCAGCAACCTTGACATACACTGGGGCTGCTCTCTGGGTTAGTCGGGAACCTGTAATGCGCGTGACCGTGTGGCATGTACATAGAAATGCGGCCTTAAGAACGTGTAGGCCTACAAGAGATCGGCCACGTCTGATATACCTGTGTACATACATCGTGTGTACATATGTAGAT